GCGGGGGGGGGGGGGGGGGGTCTATTGCCTTTTGATTGCGTATGTGGTTTTGTTCGACCAACCTAACTTGACCTGACAAATCTCATACGGCGTCGTTGTCAGCCGATGTGTATGCTAGCATTATTTTGACCCGAGAGCGAGAGACAAGTCCACCAGTCCACAGCTGATAGCGCGTCGCGTACGTCGCAGTAGGTGATAGTGCATTATAACGTTACAACGAACATGAATCTAACACCTAAAAGATCGTACAAGGAGAGACGTACGTTCGGTGAGTACTGCATGTATGTGAAATAGTATCAAAGTGACAGCGTTCTGTACTTATAGGAATAGAGTAGAATAGATACAGAACAAAGGGACTATATGTTAACCTGGCCTGACCTTTGACCTCGTATATATAAGATACTCGGAATGTTTAAAAATCGTCCTTAGAAAATTATTATTTTCGCATTACAAAAAGCTTTAGTTCAATCTAAAACTCCGAGCGCATTAGATGACAGAATCTCATCGAATGAACTAAAAGAGAGAGGGAAGATTTTTATTTTATTATATATTTTTTTTTTTTTATCCGATATTATCCTGCAAAATAGGTGATAAAATATATTGTTACAGCGTCCGTGTTGATTTAACAATAATTTGGAAATGCGTTCGATAAGTAACTTTTACAAACGCGCAATTATAAGAGAGATAGCACGAACGTAAAAAAAGACAAGTTAAGAAAAGGAAAATAACATTGCGCGCGTGCACGTTTGTATATGTTTCAAAACGGAAATACCTTCATCTCCATTTTTCGTATTGCAAAACGCATTGTTTAACGTCATTCTAGCACGCATAAGCAGCACGTGGAACGGTCGATTTTATCCGGTTTATTCGATTTTAACGGTTTATTTTATAGAGAAAATTGTTAGAATTAAATAGAACGCGATATAATATTTTTAGAACAACAATTACATTTCGCTATATTCGAAAAATGTATTCTCAGTGTTCAAAGATTAAGCGGAAATATTCTTTTGGTGAGTAGTGCGTTTGTACAATGGATTACATCGAACGAGGATTTCGCTTTAAAAAAAAAAAAAGGAATTTTTTTAGAATTTGTTATATCATAATTTTCGATCTAATATTACATTATATAGGTTATACAATATAATTTATTCACATTGTAATATTTTAGGCTAATATATGAACGATATTTCTTTATTTTAATTCAGAGCAGCGATGGATCAGTGCAGAAGAAATTAGATCTCTGCATCCCAATAAAATTCCTATCATTGTGGAACGCTATAAATTAGAAAATCAACTGCCACTTCTGGATAAAAGCAAATATCTGGTCCCAGATTTTCTAACTGTGGCAGAATTTTGCAAAATAATCAGGTACATTTTTATGAACATATGAGAAATTAAATTTAAGTTATACAATATATTAGTTAATAATATATATTTCTTTCTCTTTTTGTAAAGACGTCGACTGCAGCTGAATCCAACGCAAGCAATTTTCTTACTAGTAAATCAGAAAAGTATAGTGAGCGGAAGCTTGACCATGGCTGAATTGTATCAAAACGAAAAAGATCCAGATGGTTTTCTTTACATTGTGTTTGCCAGCCAGGATGTATTTGGTGATCATTAACCTCAGAAGCAAGACAACTTTAAACCAAGTAAATAAGAAAAAATTTTTATTTATTTTCCACTTTTTTTAACTTAGCAATAAATTAATGCATAAAATTACAGGTAAAAACAAAATACCTCCTTGGCACTTAAAAATACTTTGACAGATGTTTATGTGAAATTTTGTGGGGATTTTAGATCTGCTAGCAACTTTATCTGCCTTTAATTGAATGTGCAGAATCTTTGTGATCAACTGATGGTACCTGCTGGAATAATTAACAGAACAATCATATTTGGAACCTATATATAAAATCATTACGGTGCTTTCTACACACTTTTGACACAGATAAATTACATTTGATATATAAATTAGCATAGTATCTGCTTAGTTTATTACTAGTAATGACAATTTCTATTATTAATTTTAGCAGCAATAGGCTATATAAATGATAATAAGCTATGGGTAAAGATATATAATGTGGATTTCTTTTTTTTTATGATAGTAATGAGGAGAGGTTTATGGGAGATTTCTTTTTTCTTCCGTTTTTTCCCGTATGTATCCACACTTTCGTCTTCGTAAAAACAAATTTGTAATTATAATAAGTTTCAAATATGGTTTTTGTTCAACCTGATTATTCTTTTACGAATAATTTATATATAGTAGGCCAGTCTCTCTTAGTTTACCAATTTATGTAAAATTTACATAATTATTGCAATAGCTTTTGTATATAGTGTTTTTTGCCATCATACATCTAAATATGAGATCAAAATCAAAATGGATGTAATACTAGTTTAAGAGAATTCACATTTTTTAAAGATTCCATTAATATTTCTGATTAACATACTTTTATGTACTTTTGATGATATAGTTTCCTCAAGGACTATTAATGAAAATATCTTTCTATGATAAAATTTTTAAGTATTATTTTTATTACAAAATACACACTAAGACATTAACAAAAGTGTTCATGTACATAATATGCAGTATGAAATGTACGGTGATATGTGTTAAATTCTCGTGAAATTATATTAAGTTTTACACACAAGATATATAAAATTGATCTCTATCGAGATCATGATAACAAAGGTAGTTAGATACTATTTTAACTAGGAAAAATTCTTCAGTGTAATGTGTTTTAAGATAATCTGACATAAAGTCTCTCTTCTGTAGAATACTTTTGCAATAAGCCATCAAAAGCGCGCAAAAATTTATTACTAAGGAATTAAGCAAAAAAATCAGAATGAATGCAAGTATGTTTCTGAAACTTTTTAAATATTGGATAAAAATAGTTAAATATTTGTACACCTGATATATAGTATTTTTGAGCTTTAATTCTGCATTATAGCTGATTGCCCCAATCCATATAATACATTGTTCTATGTATCTATTTAATGTATTATGTTCTATTTAAAGCCACGTTTTTCTTTGTGTAAATAATTACTAATACACTTATGTGTTATATTGTATAATCAGATGCAATTTTAAGTACATATAAGAGCATATTTCTAATAATAGTGCAATTTTTTTCTAACACTGGTACAAAATACTTAGTAGCTTTTATGCAGATTGATTTTACTTTATAGGTGATTGGCATGTATCATAATTTTACATTAGTATTACGCAACTCTGACATACAGTCATTGTACAATGGAAAGTAGGATATTTAACAGGATATATAACAGGAATCGAAATATATCCTAAAACGTTTTAATTGCACCTTCTTAAGCTTTCTACGCTTAAAATGAAATAGGTATATATCTGAGCTTTGGAGAGAGAAAAGAGACAAGGAACAAAGTGTAGAAAGTGCAATTGAAACAAACATACCTACAATTAAATTAAAAACAGTAGTGATACTAGCAGTAGTCATATTACATGTAGTGGTAAAGCTTTCGTAATATACAGAGAGAAAGTTGTATGTTCCCCCTTTCCCCACACATTGTGCGACATATTTGCAATAAACTAATCTTTTTCATATTTGATGTTCTTACAGTTTTCTTTATTATATAATTTATTTTTAAAAACAACAGCCTTTTTTGCAAAATTTCTATAACTTCAACAAATTTTAAAGAGACACTGCATGCGCTCTCTTAGCACTAAACATAAAATATTATTATTTTCCCCCCCTGAATAAAAATTTCATTATTTTTGAAGACTAATATCTCTCTGTCTATTTGTAATCTAATTATGTTTATATCTATTTAAATCTTTCAATTACAAAAAATGGTACAAAATCCATTATTCATGCTGTTCAAAATTTTAATCTGAATGCTGTATCAAATATAAAAAATAGGAAAATCTATTAACATTTCTGAGATTTTAACATAATTTCTCAACGTTTTATTAAATTACATTTATTAATAAGTTAAAAATATTACATATATATTTTGTAAATCGGGGAGCACACACTTTTGCATAAGCGCATAATTATAAACATAAGGAAATTGATTGGTCAATTTTCTTATGCATAAGGAAATGGACCAATCAATTTCCTTATGATTATGCGCTTATGCAAAAAAAGTGTGCTCCCCGCTTAAAGCTTTCTACGAATTATTATAAAGTTATAGCGCGAAAAGAAGCAAATCGACGCATGTTTTTCGAATTAACCTCTCATCCCGCTTTGGAATGACGTATCAACATGGCTGCCGATAGTTGGCGCCGTATCCTGATGCGGCGCTGCGTGTCGCAACATCCCGAAACTTGTCATCGATCTACTCTTGCTATCGCAAGATGACACGTATTCGATGATAATTATAAACATAAGGAAATTGATTGGTCCATTTTCTTATGCATAAGGAAATGGACCAATCAATTTCCTTATGTTTATGCGCTTATGCAAAAGAGTGTGCTCCCCGCTTAAAGCTTTCTACGAATTATTATAAAGTTATAGCGCGAAAAGAAGCAAATCGACGCATGTTTTTCGAATTAACCTCTCATCCCGCTTTGGAATGACGTATCAACATGGCTGCCGATAGTTGGCGCCGTATCCTGATGCGGCGCTGCGTGTCGCAACATCCCGAAACTTGTCATCGATCTACTCTTGCTATCGCAAGATGACACGTATTCGATGACGCAGCGGGGGACGTGAGATGTCAGGTACGCGCAGGAAGGTGAGAGCGGCAGGGGGCGGGTCCGGGGCCGGGCGGAGTAGGGGGACAGGAGACGGCGAAAAGGTAAAGGTTAGAGGAGGTTATGAACTCTAACCCGTGGATGTGTGCGCACAACGAAGCCTGGTAGCTACCAACCCGCTATGTACGGTGCTGATGACGCACGATCGGATCAGTCGTCGTCGCTGTTGATCGCGAAGGTGAGTCCTCTGGATCGCGATATCGCATGGTACCTCTCCTCCGAGATTCGTCCTCGTAAGCAGGAGCGCGGTCGACGCGTTCGAGACATCCCGTGAGCTACGGCTCCGCGATTCGTGTCCGCATTCGTGTGCACGCCTCGTCGCTCGTCGAAGACGATCTCGACTTCCTACCGAGGGAAGAAAGTTGCATCACGATAACGGGCGGGCGTCGTCTTCGTCGACGAGAATGTGACGCGAGAGATCGCGTTTTTGTTTCTTTTTTTTTTTTTTCTTTATTTTCTTTATTTTGTCCCTCTTGGTCAGGGACTTTCGAGACTGAATCGCGCGGAGGTGATCGTCTGACGCGACGGATTCCGGGTTAGTTGATGTGAGCGGGGAGGAGTATTTAGTGCGGTGATAGTCGGGTCCGGGAGCGCTTCGTGCTTCTCGAACGCTTGTGTCCGCTTCAATGGTGTCAACGCGAAATCGCAGGCTTCCTACCGCAACCTGCACTCCGTCTCTTCGCATCGAGTTATTTTGGACGAGTCTTTTAGTGTCTGTGTCGGAGATGCTGCGTTTCTCCGGGATCGAAGGGTATGAGGTTACACGAGCGAGTCGCGATTTCGGCTGAATTTAATCGCGCGAATTCAGATTCCGTGAAAGTCTCGGGCGTTTTACGCGCTCCTCTCTGACGTAACGCTTTCGTATACAGGATACTCCACCTTCGCGATAAATAGCGTGTTCTCTGAAAATGCAATTGCTAATAGTTTCTTATAAACCATAATACTCGAGGCCTAACTATCGAAGAATTCTCTCAAACAGAAAAACATAAATTGTATATTCATATATTTAGAATTTTAAGAAATATTTCATGTTTAAACACATATTCAAAAATTTGGCAATAATTCTGGACCACCACGTGTGCGAGAAAGAAACATTAGACGTTTTGATAATGTAATTGTTAAGGAGAACAAAGCTGCATCGGAGTCACGCACGTGTCTCTGCGTGCGCGATTTTATTTTTGGACGTCCCTTTTTCGCGTGCAAATTTATATAGCTATCATCTCCCTCTCTCTCTCTCTCTCTCTCTCTCTCTCTCTCTTTCGCT